GCTTCGCACTTCCGGCAGACACCCACCATCTCATCAAACGTCATGCTGCCGGAGCCATCCTCATCGCAGGCCTCGGGAGCAAGCTCGAGCACAGGCGCCTCAGTCACGAAGGTTCGACCTGAGGCCCTGAGGCGAGTGCCAGGAAGACCTTGTACCAATTGCCAGATGCTCTATGCCACCTCTGCCACTTCTGCTTGAATTCGACATCAAGCTCAGGAAAGCAAGCCCATTGCTGAGCCCCACGCTTGTCTGCAGCCGTGTTCAGGATGTGAATGACCCGAAAGATGCCTCTTGTCCGAGCATTGTCCCAATGCAGCAGTATACGCAACAGTGGCACAGGAACCCGCCTTGCTGATCCAACTCAGGCCAGGTATCCACCTAAGGCCGGATCAGCCGTTCAATCAAACTCTGACAGAAAAGAGGCCGTCAAGGTTGGGTGGCACGCCTGCAGACGATAGACAGCATTGTCAAAGTGCGAAGCAGTAACTTCGCCGGTGCCCTCTTGATCCACCTGAACAAGACTCGCGCCGTAGAAAAAAAAACCTTTCTTCTGGATCCTTCGTGAGCTATCTGCTCGCTTTGTCATGCTCTTTCTTATGTCTTATGTACGTGCAGCTCCAGGGTGACGATGTCTGCATGTGTCCACCCAAGGCGTATGATTTACATTTTGGGCGGGCTTGCCTGATGCGGGTTGTGATACATGATCATCTCAAAAAGCTCCTGACACGCACACACTTCATGCAGCCTCCCGCCAGAATGCCATCAGCTGCTCCAGTGAAGGCGGCGGTCGCATTACCTCTTACATCTTTCCATGAACCGCCAGTTTACACAAGCGCCCCCATCTCAACCAGTGCGGCGTTGGCGTTAGCAGCTGCGGCACACGCAAGAAAGTTGAAAGGCGAAGCACACGCCTGCACCACCATCTTGTGGAACTCCGTGAATCTCATCCGACCGTTCCTTTCTCAAAGTCCAGCCGCTGCTCACTTCTGACATCTTCCGAGCAAAAGCCCTGCCTTGAGCTCTCGCTTGCGTCGATGAATTTGGGCCAGAGCAGTGCTCCTGCAAAGGCTCCTTTGTCGGCCTTAGCGTCAACTTTCTGTGCAACAGCCCTCTAAGCGAAACCGTTGTTTAGGCGGCCACCCCAGTTCTGGATAACCAAGAATGGACGCCCAACCTTCCAGATAAGTATCGCAGCCTCTCTGCTCAGCAGTTCTTGTGGTGGCATCCCTTCACACGGAGAAGGGAAGAGCGTTTTCACTAGTCACGGCACAGAGGCCACCACGTCAAGTTGGTAGCCATGGCGACGAGCTGATGCGCCTCAGACAAGTTGTTCTAAGCCCAGCCTGGCATCTGCAGGGCTTGCTTGACACGAAACTGAAAGAGAGGCTGCGACATCCAATTCCTCGGCACACGCCAAAAAAATCTGGCAATAGCTACAATATGATACAAGTATTCTCAAGCTTGTAATGAGTGGCCTGTGCTGATTGCTGTAAGGGCACCGGTGCATTTGCGATCTGCTCCTTCTGCTCTTCATCTTCTTCCTCCAAAAAAAGCTGGGCACTTCTAGACATCCCACACCGGCTCTGAGACTCCCACGGAGATCACGCTGCCTCGCGTTGCGACGGTTGCGACTTCCGAAGGTCTTCAGCATGACATCAAATGTCAGTTGAGCCAGGCACATGTCATCTTGCTTTGCGATGACTTTTGCATGCTGTGCTTGGCTCCATAGCGGCGCATGAAGACCTGGACCCGTCAACCAGTCGTCGCTCGTGGTTGCTCAAAACGGCGCCCCGGTGGGGGCTGTGGTGTTGCAGGCCTTCTGCTCCTGCTTTTACACACCACGGCATGCAACGGCAGCAACACATCTTGAAACACTCCACAAGCCCAATCCGAAGGGCCGCCTAGCTTGTAAATATTCAGATGACATAACTCGGCAGTTGGCGATTGAATGCACGGCTCGTGTGCAGTCCTGGCAGCCCTCCTGAGAGGCCCAACCGTCCCAAGTAGCCCTCTCAACTTCGTCTCAGTCAGTATGCGCTGCTACTGTAATGTTCTGTCAGCCTGCTGTCCTAGAACCCTGTCCGTGATCAACCTCGATTCGCCATGCTCGTGACCAATCGGGCATGCTTGGAATTCTAAGGCGCCAAGAATCACATCAGCACTGTCAAAAATGAGCCCGACACCATGAATTCGCCGACACTAACAGTGCTGGACTTGTCTTCGTCCAAGGCCTGCCAGCGTTTGTCGTGGGAACCCGGATGTGCTTGATGCAAGAACAAATGATTTCTGTGAGAGAGGAGCCTTCCACAGGCCCTTCAAGTCGAACTCCGTGATCTGGTCGGGTGGAATGGCCAGGCCATACCTGTGCTTCGGGTGACACAGCAGTTCGCCAGAGTCGTCCGGCCAAGGCCCGGACCACATGTCCCTCACGACTTCTCTCAGACCACCGAAACTGAGGCGGCCAGACTGTCCCTGCAAAGAGCAATGATGTCTGTCTGGAATGGTGGGAGAGCTGTTCGCCATGAATTGTGTTGGCAGTAGGAGTAGAAATAGTCGTCGTTGATGTAGTAGTACTCGTTGTCGTGGTGGTAAATTGAGCAGTATCAACAGCAGTCGTGGCGGTGGTGGTGGTAGCAGCAGCAGCAGCAGCACTTGCACCAGCACAACCATACTTACTGTCAGCACCTGTGACAGCTAGTGCTACAACAACAATGACGATGCCGGCAATGACGATGATGACCACTACTGCTGCTACTACTTACTACTACCACAACTGCTACTACTACTACTACTACTGCTACTGCTACTGCTACTGCTACTGCTACTGCTACAACTACTACTACTGCTACTACTACTCCTAGTTCCTACTGCTACTGCTACCACTGCTACGAATACCACCGCCCCCATTACTACTGCTACTACTACTACTGCTGCTACTACTGCTGGTACTGGTACTACTACTGCTACTGCTACTGTTACTGCTAATGCTACTGCTACTGCTACTGCTACTACTACTACTACTACTACTACCACTACTACTACTATTGCAACTGCTCCCGCTGCTGCTCCTGCGACTGCTACTGCCACTGCTCCTGCTCCGGCGACTGCTGCTACTACTACTACTACTGCTACTACTACTACTGCCACTACTACTACTCCTGCCACTGCTACGGCGACTGCTACGGCTACTGCTGCTGCTACTGCTACGGCTACCGCTGCTACTGCTACTGCTACTGCTACTCCTGCTTCTACGACGACGACTACCACCACCAGCACCACAGCAACAGCTACAACACCTACTACTACCACTACTCCTCCTCCTACTCCTCCTGCTCTTGCCGCCCCTGCATACCTCGTCTCACTGCTGCTGACTCCGCTAACTCCTGCTAAAACCTACTTAACTCCCTACTGGCTCCTACTACTACCAACCACAACTGACTATACCTGCTACTAACTGCTACTAACTTCTACTACCTACTACTAACTTTTACGATCTACTGCGAACTCCTACTAACTCCTACTGCCTCCTACTCATTGTCACTAGCTCCGACGCCAACCACTAACTTTCGCATCGAAGTCTCTGACGCCAGCCGCTAGCCGGTTTACCATACTTCTGTGCGCGAGGCTCAAGTCAATGAGTGTCCAGCTTTTGCAATACCGACAAAAGGTAAGCGGCTGTCACGTTTTCTAGAATTCACAGAGAATGTTGAAAATACTACGTTACTGCGGTTAGCCTCATACACTTCAGTGCCGACATTGACGACACATGCCAAGGCTTGGTGCCGCAGGCGTTCACATGTAAGGATACTGCCTAATACTGATACTACTGGTTCCGCCTGTGCCAGTCTTACGACTTTCCACTGACTTTCCAGAACTACTCCCCGCTGGGTTCTGACATAAGCGATACAACACGAACTCTATGAGGCGTCGTGTCTGTATTTGCTTCTGAAAGGCCAGCCTCGCTCTTAAGTTTACACAGCTGCCCCGAAAACCAGTCCGCTCCTGCTTCCAAAATGTTTTTCCTTCTAACCGTCTCTGCATCTCAATACCATCGAGGGTATGGTGCCATGGTGTTTCTGCAACGAAGTGCTTCACGCACCCCGATGCTTGCCAGCTCTTGCACACAATCATGAAACAGCATACATATATGTATACATATGAAAATACATATACATAAACAGAAACAGAGAAACTGATATGGGCATGTACATATTCACATACATATACATACTTACACATATATAATATAGATAGATAGATCGTTGTACGTATATGTAATATTTTGGCTCCCGCTTGGCTGATCCGAAGACCGCATTGCAGGTCACATGTCGGGCTAGAGGTGGAGGGCTTCACAGCACTGATCCCTTCCAAACAACTGGCAGCGAAGCGGCTCACCAACCCTAAACCAAATATGTAATATGTACATATATATATATATATATTTATATTTATATTTACCTATTTATGTATTTATTGTTTGTGTGCGTTCCTTTGCTAGGGAGGATTCAGGCGTGTTGGTTGGAGGTCTTGCGATTCAGCGTCAGCGATTAGGCATTCGCCGGGGCACGCACAAACCATCATCGCCGTGCCTTGTCGACCAGATTAAAGATCTTGTACCAGTTGCCACTCGTCCGCAGTCGCTTGACCTGGTGGGCCGTGTGCTCCTCATTCTAGAGTAATCGGGAACCTGTCGTCTTGTTGAACAAACGACAGGTTCCCGAGTACATATGGACCGCCGATCCCCGGCGAATCTCTACCCCAAATTGCATGCAAAGCTTAGGCGGGCACTGCGGCATGATTGACGATGGTTGCCTGGCCCCGTGACCACTCACGCGGAAGCAAGCGTCGAAAGACAAATGTTGGCCAGTGTGGCTATTCTCTCAAGATCTGCTCCGTCCAACTCAGGCCAGCCGTCGAGCTGAACATGATACCTTCAGGCCAACTGCAAGATGTTGCTTCTGGCAAGTAACGGGTCTTCACTGCTACTCCTCATGCGTTGCAGCACGGCGCACAGGCCAAGCATCATATCTTTTGCCGTCACTTCGCCCACGGAAGAAGGATCCTCCGCAGGGGTCAAGCAATCAAGTCAATTGTACATTGTACATGTACATGTCTTCGTGATGCATTCTTGGCGCGTGGCGAGTTTATCCCAAAGTGCACGGATATCTTCTTTCGTCCTGAGTACTGTAGTTTCTGGCATGCCCAACACCACGCCGGCAACGCTGGTAAGACAACTGTCTTGTCTTCATCATCTGTTTTGCTTCAGCCCGTCTGCACGACGTTGACGGGTTTCCTACGGATTTCTGTGTTTCCGTCAATATGGCGGACGTGAAACTTGACACTTCAAGACGCCTCTCACTCAGCGAGGGGATCCTCGGCTCCAATTGACACCGGAAGCGCTGTCGACCGACACTGCTGCCTGCCCTCTCTGGCACAGGGCTTCACGCTTCCCCTCCCCGAACTGGAAACTTGAATCATTGATAGCGCAGACACAAACCTAGGTTTGTGGCGACTCATTGCATCCGGGCTCGTAGAGGGCAGCAGGGTTGCCTTGTACCTGCAGGAAGAAAAGCTGCGGCTAGTCCCACGTCACGTGCACATGTTGGATCGAGCCTGAGCCGAACCTGGTGTGAATTCCGCTGCGGTCCTGCACAAGACTTCTGTCCCCTTCTTGCTAAATCCTGATCAACCCGGTGGATTCTGTGATGTGCCAGAACGTTGCACCCGTGTCGCCATTGTATTCTTAGGTGCAAACCCATAGTCCTTCATGGAGGCTGTGGGGAGACATGGAAAACAACAGCAAGACAGCACCATCAAAAGGCTTGGGGGACCAAGGTAAAGGGTTTGAGTTTGCAAGACTTTGCCCGATTCAAGTTGGTGCATACTGTCTTCACGAGCACTGTCCCGGCTGGCAGGCCGGCATCTGCGGGCTCCTGGGCTGGCAGCACGGCGTTTTTGAAACTCTCAAAATCTTCAAGGTTTCGAGCTGTCAAGGACTGGGAGCATGACCATCCTGCGCGGTCCAGGCAGAAAGTCTGCGATTGCTCCTCAGCCAGAAGACTTTGAAGTGCACTGGCTGAGCTGACTTCACACCTAACGGCTCAGCCACAGGCGTTTCACGTCCACCCACTTGCCATTCACATGGTGCTTGTCATGGTGTTGCAGCACCGACAAGACGCTCTCAGCTGTTTCGTAGCAGATAAAAGCGAAACCGCGAGGCTTCCCCGTCATCTTGTCTGTCATGATAACAGCATCTGTGACCTGCCCGTACGCTACGAAGCATCGCAGAAGCTGGTCCAGAGTCGTAGACAGTGGAAGGCCGCCAACAAAGATTTTGCAGTCATCGTTGTTACCCTTCCTGGCGGTGACAGTGCCGATCCACCACACTTTAGAATCTCCCGTGGCTTAAGATGATTGTGGTGGCGGGCATACGCACTACCGAAGGCAGGGCATAGCAGGGCTTTGCTAAAACAAAAAGCAGCTTTCTGACCAGGATGCAATGATGTATCGGGACGAGTCGCTGCATTCGATTCAGCTCCGGCCGGGCAGAGAACGACAATTGAGGCATCTGCGGTGCACTGGCGGGGCTGGCTTGTGCAGCGGCATTCGTCGAGGCGAACGTGGGGATCACGATGTTGACCTTCGTTGCTGCCGCATCAAGTACGGAAGCAGCACTGCCTCATGCTTAGGCTTAAACCATACCTTGGACAGCAAAGTTAAAGGCACTTTGACTACTCACCTCTGGACACGGAGGGTTATCGTCCGGATCGGTTGCTACATGACCAGCGTTTAAAGTGGCCATGTTGCTAGTGTACTCATCGTAGGCGGTGCTACTGGCTCGGCATAATCCGGCGTGACGAAGATTCCAAGTGCAGTCAGCGTGAGAAGCCCATCCCCTACAATGAGAAGGATGTCGGCACCAGGAATGAACAGCCACCGCGTGGTGTCTGATTCGAAATCACGGAAAAAAGCCAAAGCTTCCTTCACAGTTTTATCACCTGTTCTTGTCGCATGCTCCGCGATCTCGCTCCAAATCGTGCTGCAGAGCCCCGACAAATTGGCATCCTTCCATGAAATCGGCGAGAGGCCCTTAGGCGAGTTGTCCCAGAGACGATGCCTCCACCGCTTAAACCACGGAGACGGGACCAGCTTCTCTTGCCCCCGATCGAGAACAACACCACCAAGTGCACGGCTCATGCGCTGCTCCTCAGTGCTCACTCGTGTATTTACGGCCAACAAATCTGGAAGACAAGTCTTCAACCGGTCACTTTGAATGGCAAACTACTATGCGAGTGAACAGATGGTCCTTGTCCAAGCGAGTCAGGCGCCGCTCCTCCACCCTCTCCTCACGCTTGCGGTCCTCATCCTCCTCGGGCTTCTCGTCCGCCTGCGTGACTTCTAGCTGCTTGCCTTTGATCACGTGCGTTTCTCCGAGCATCCACTCGACCAGGTCTTGCTTGGTATTCTTTCTTCCTTCGTAGAACCCCTCCGGCTTCATGGTGAGGAAGCACATTCCTCGAAATTGCTTCTTGCCTTACATGCAATATGCGAGCGCGGAGCACGGGGTGCTTCACCAAACGGCCGTAACGTCTCTTCAGCTGGTATGTTCCAAGCCACGCTTGTCCATCAAGACATTGCAGTTCCTTCGCAAGTCAAACATCGGACATGCATCAACATGTGCGCAGCTGTGACAAACACGAGAGCACGATGAAAGCATAATGGGTCGGGTCGAGCCACGTAATCTTGCCAAATTCTTTGAAGTGCTCTCGGATCTGATTCTCATCCAGATCTGCAGTGCCCTTCAAGAAAAACCGCTGCGAGTCGCGATCATTGCGATCGCCCTGGGCAAACCCCGCATCATGCAACAGCTGCAGACGCATGCGCCCAAAATAAACAGCTTGACAGATGCTTTCCTGCTGCAGCAGGCCCGGCATCACGGGTTTCAACGGAATCGGTTGGCTTTAAGAGAATGACTGGATCTCGGGCTGCGGCCTGTTTGACTTTGGGCTCCTTTCGCCGCTCACGGCTCCGGCTGCGGCTCCTCTGCAGGACCACCAGCACGGCATTGAAGTCGCAAGTGGAGCCGCTCTACTAAAGGCTTTTGCTGCGGTGTTTGACTGTCGTTCTATTGAACCTCCAACTGTAATCTCAAAGGCCTTCCCCGGACTACGACTTCAAACTTGCTCCGCATTCGAAAGAAGTCCTGCTGCGATCGCGCGTGTCGTCCCAGCATCTTCGACGGAAGTGTGTCATCAGTGCCCCTTGGTAACCGTGTGCAGATCAGTTCGGCCCCTGCTGGTGCGCTGGCAACTTTCGGTCCAGAGGCTGATCAAACTGATCTCTGGGAAGAGCTGGAAAACGTCTTTCCACTTCGCTCGCAAGCATCGACCAGTACCAGGGCGAGCGGCCTGCAACAGAATGCACTGAAAACCGAACAAGCGGAAGAGCTTAACAGTTTATGGTTTCCTTCATGATTCAGGTTCTCGGCTATCGGAGCCGCATGACAGATTCCAATCTATTCCCAGACAGCGTAAGGCTGGGCAAAGCCTCCACCAGAGCGACTCGAGAAAGCAAGGTGATGAACTGGCACCTGAAGGCAGATTTTTCAAAGTATGCTTCATGGTGACTTGGTGCTAGGCCCAGCATAAATTTGTGACTGTGTGCGTGTCTGTGTGCTTTCGTGTGTGGGCGGCGGGCGGATGTAGGCTCCGCACTTCGCAGCAGGCCGACCAGTTTCGAAGACCCTTCTCATGTCCTCCTCTGCGTACAGAGCTAGCCTCGGTCGTCTGTACTCATACTGGCAATGCTAGCATGGGTTTTGACATGACTGGTTCTGCATCTGAGGTTTCGGATGCTTTTCGTCATCTTTCCGATTCACACTGGGACATCATCAAGAAGCGGAAACATCCACCAGCATATTTGTAGTTATCGCTTACAGAAGCATGCCAACGCGAATAGAAATTACTACTAGTCCAGCTTGCGATCTTCTCCTTAAGGTCTTCTTACTGCCATTATTGACCGTCTGCGCATGTAGCAAATCTGGCGGCCCAGTAGCAGCTCATCACCATCAAACCATTCACGCAGCAGGTCGGTCGGCGAAATGCCGTGCCAACTTTGGCTGTATGGACCTCTTGTCACAATGTGATTCCGAAGCATTGGCGGGCAGGCACCTTGAGCAGAAGCGAACAAAATGAAACTAACGTCCTTTTTGAAGCAACGGTCTACCATCTCGCCTTCACAGATGAAGCCCAGAACGGCCAGGAGCAGGCGTGTGGCTTCTGCGAAAGTGCTTGCAGTGGGATCGGCACGCATCTCCTGTGGCTTTCCCGTGAAATCTCACACATCCAACAAACAGCATGACTTGCCGCATAGCCGTATCATGCTATCATCTGGTTGAAGTCCCTGTGCATTTCCGTAAGCTGACCGAACAGTGTGTTCGTCTCCCTCCCTCTGCTGTGTTTCCCCTTGTTGCCTTGACCTGCCGACAGCAAGCAACCAAAGAAACTTGCAAAACCTATCTGCGGCCGAAACCTTCTGTCTCTCTTTCGAGAGTCGTCGTCGTCGGTAGTAGAAGTAGTAGCCGTGGTGGTGGTGGTGGTGGTGGTGGTGGTGGTGGTGGTGGTGGTGGTGGTGCTGGTGCTGGTGGTGGTGGTGGTGGTGGTGGTGGTGGCAGCAGCAGCAGCAGTAGCAAGAGCAGTAGTAGTGCTAGTAGTAGTAGTAGTAGTAGTAGTAGTAGTAGTAGTAGTAGTAGTAGTACTAGTAGCAGTAGCAGTAGTAGTAGTAGTAGTAGTAGTAGTAGTAGTAGTAGTAGTACTAGTAGTAGTAGTGGTAGCAGTGATAGCGGTGGCCACGCCGTGTCTTGCGCTTGGGCTTCCCACCCAGGCCACGAAGGCCAGGCTTCCGGCATTCCCGGACAAGCTCCGATAGGAGACGCTCCAGCATCGGATACTAAGCCATGGGGGATTTTAACACACATCAGGGTGCAGAAATATGCATCAACCATGTATAGATGCTGATTTCAGGGAA